GCTCATCGTGCATGTTGTTAGAACTGATGGAAATGTTTTTTTCCTTTGATTAGCTACATTATTGTATTGCAAAAACGTTTCAATGAGTTACTGAAGTAACGTCTTCTGCATAGCTACGGGACCTGCGCTGACTCTGCCGATCACGGGCGTTCTGGAGTCGACGGGATGTCTGTCCTGACGTTTCCTGGGACCGGCGCTGACTCTGCCGATCACAGGCGTTCTGGAGTCGACGGAATGTCTGTCCTGACGTTTCCTGTGACCGGCGCTGACTCTGCCGGTCACGGGCATTTTGGAGTCGACGGGATCTCTCTTTCGACGTTTCCTGTGACCGGCGCTGACTCGCCCGTTCACGCTTATTGTTCTGGAGTCGACGGGATCTCTCTTCCGACGTTTCCTGTGACCGGCGCTGACTCGCCCGTTCACGCTTATTTTGGAGACGACGGGATCTCTCTTCCAAAGTATGTTTTTGCTGACGCATCCTATCACCTATTTGGCAACTAACGTCCATTCTAATTGCATTTCCTCCTCGTCTCCCTATTTCTTTCCAGAAAATCTCCCTATACATCAGGGAGTCGTATACATAATACGACGAATGTTGTGGCCAGCTGTTTGTGGCCAGCTGTGTTTGATGGTACGGTATGGTACGGGACAGATACGGGAGCCAGCAAATATTGTGGCCAGCTATTCGTGGCCAGCTGTGATTGATGGTACGGTACGATACGGGAGAGATACGGGATAGAGCCAGGCGTGACACAAACAAACAAACAAACAAACAAACAAATACCAAATTAAAGCTGTGTGGACCTTGGCTAGCGCCAGACGTTACTGAAGTAACGTCTTCTGCATCGCTACGGGAATTAATTGTGTCTATGCGGACGCGAGAAAACAAGACGGAAGTGAATACGAAAGAAACTCGCTACTAGCTGCAAGGCCTGCCTTCCACCGGCACTTATCCAGCCTTCGACCGACGGTGAACATTTACCAGGGTCCAGTACTGTTTGACGGCGAGAAGTACACCCCGGCGAAAGACTTCACTTCTAAGAACCACCAGGGAGGGCTGAAAGGTTCTGCTTCAACGACGGCAAGCTGCATCATAGATGCAGAAGAAGTGGCAGTGATTCAACCCTACATCAACAAGCTACATCCGAAACAAGACTGTCTCTTCCAGCGTGCTCAATGTGGTGCAGCTATGCATGTATCTCCTGATAACGAATGCTGGTTTATGTGTGCTGCGCTTTCGCATAACATGCTGGATGCCATGATGAAAACGCTGTCTCTCGCTGCTGGCTTGTCATGCGTATATACCAATCATCGTTTGCGAGCAACAAGCAATGTCCATATGAAGCGAAATGGTGTAGAAGACCACAAGATCTGTGCTGTAACAGGCCACAGAAATGTAGCATCCATGGCTCCTTACAATGTGATTACCCCAGCTGAAGCATGCTCTCTTGCAGATGCCATTGATATGAAGCCTCCAGTTTCACTGCCCCAGTCGTATGTCCCTGAGCCAGCGCAGAACGCCTACTCTTTTCAGCTTGGAACATGCTGTTGATTCTTTCCTGGAATTGTGATTTTTCTTTGGCTTTTCATTCTGTTTTCCAAAAAAGGAGTGACTACTGTCATTTTTCTTTGGCTTTTCGTGATGTTTTCTAAGAAGGAGTGGATACTGCTCATAGCAGCTACAGTGAAACCTGGTTAGGAAGAACACTTTGCAACATCATAATAATAAACAACATACATGTACTTTCCATTGGCATCAGTATTTCGCGTAAGTTTTTCGTCGCCTGTGTGGTGTGTTTCTCCACCAATGAGCGCGTACTATGATTATTTATCGCTGTTCTCACACTTTACCATTTTAGCAGCTTGCATATGCCAATGATATATGTGGAAAGCGCGCACTTGCGCCATTTCTGGTGTATAAGAATGATCATTCCTCAATCATCATCATTATCATCCTCTACTGATGAGCTCCGACAGGGAGCGAAACAGCTGTCTAGAGGCGTGGAGCAATATTATCTCTCAACGGAAGTGTCCTTGCTGGTGTCTGTATGGTTCGGCTGAAGAGCGCGTGGTTGTGATGAGTTGGGAATGCAATGAATTGAAAATATGGCCGAAAGCTCGGTCGCAATATTTAGTTCTGAAGTTTTAATGCGCCGTTAGTGGCAGAGCAGAGTGGACACGAAGAGTCGGTGAAGAAAGAAGGAGAGATGACAAGACGAGTCGGTGAAGAAGGAAGGAGAAAAGCAAGACACATCTGCAACATCTTTGTTTGATCAAACTGAGCTGAGCTGCTGATACGAAGCGTCGACCAAGCATCCCTGACTGGAGTGAATGCCCCAGCTGGCCTCTCGTTTGTCAGTGGTTGCTACTAGACCTGTTAGTATCACACTCAAGACTACAAGTTTCCTGGTGTGCATCGACATCGGCATCATTGGGGCCTCCCGCTGTCGATCCTGTTGACGGGCGGACAGGTCGGTGTGAATCCTGAACGGCAACCGAGCCTGTCACGTTGGGGGATCTCGGCGGTGAGTCTCGCCTTGCCTGCATACATGGACATTGCAACATCATAATAATTAGGGCTCAAACGGTCACGGTTTTACCCCTGACGGTTAACTGCTAAGCTAACGGTCGGTTAACCGGTTATAACCTATAAGCCACGGCAATCCTGCGGACTTTTTTTTAACCGTATATTTGACTATACTCTTTCAAAAAATGTACCCTATTCAGTACAACGCACACTTGTACATTCTCTTGCATGCTCATTCATACATACTCTCACACCAAGAGACCAGATATGACCGAGTTGACAGCCCAGAAATTGCGTCCGCGTGCGACAGCCCGCGAAAGTGCACACTTTGCAACGACCTGATACTTGAAAAATTGACTGAAAAGTTACTGCATAACCGTTATCTTTATCGGTTAACCGTTAATTCTTCGTAACCGGTCTGCAACCGGTTAATCGGACTAACTGTTTGAGCCCTAATAATAATAAACAACATACATGTACTTTCCATTGGCATCAGTATTTCGCGTAAGTTTTTCGTCGCCTGTGTGGTGTGTTTCTCCACCAATGAGCGCGTACTATGATTATTTATCGCTGTTCTCACACTTTACCATTTTAGCAGCTTGCATATGCCAATGATATATGTGGAAAGCGCGCACTTGCGCCATTTCTGGTGTATAAGAATGATCATTCCTCAATCATCATCATTATCATCCTCTACTGATGAGCTCCGACAGGGAGCGAAACAGCTGTCTAGAGGCGTGGAGCAATATTATCTCTCAACGGAAGTGTCCTTGCTGGTGTCTGTATGGTTCGGCTGAAGAGCGCGTGGTTGTGATGAGTTGGGAATGCAATGAATTGAAAATATGGCCGAAAGCTCGGTCGCAATATTTAGTTAGGAAGAACACTGATAAGACAAATGCGGTTTGCCTAAGCAGAACTAGTATTCGTACCTGTATTGGATAAACCCTGTGTATTCACTGGGTAAAACATATGGATAAGAAGAACTCCCGTTATTGCGAACAAATATCATCGGTCCCTTGGTGTTCGTCCTAAAGAGGTTTGACTGTACTTTCCTTCAAATTCATTCCATCAATTACTGAAAAATTCCGGAAAAATGCTACTGGTGAATATGGGCCAATAAAGGGTGGTGCATGCATACATGAAAAGTATGTGAGTGAGTCTCACCCTACAGTCTCACCCTACACTAGGCTACAGTAGACTCGTACGCCCAAGAACGCGGTTTCAGAGGGCCAGCCTAGCAAAGTTCTTATTTTTCAGCGCCCCAGGCTACGTTTTTATTTCGCGTTCTTACGCGTCCAACATGACCCGTGGCGCTCATGTACAATGCACGTTGCGCTACATGTACCGGTTGTACACTTTACATGCACGTGTAGTACTAGTATGTAGCGCTGCACTGGCCTGGGTGATGTTTTCGCGAGGACCCGACAAGAGTTTGTGGTTGCGGACTTATTTTTCGTGTAAATCTTGGACAAACGGCGAGGAGACAACAATTTGATAACCGCAATCAGTAATACAAGCTGGATCGACATTTGTGTACACTGTATTCATGTATTGTAAAACTGTGGAGACACTTGGAGTTCGTTCTTAAATCCAGGCTGGGGCGTTCTTGGATTTCCAGCCTGGACGTTCTTGGGCCCCACGTTCTTGGGCGTACGAATCTACTGTACGGATAGTGCATTGTGCAGGAGCTGAGTTTCAGGTTTTCTCTTCTGGTCTCCCCGCCCAACCCCTTTGAGGTTTCACGGAAGCCTGGTACTGCAACACAGTCATGTACTAACACTAACACTAACACTAACACTAGTGACAGACAGTGCAGCATGACTGTACCGGGTCCGTCATACAAGACGCTCTTACGGTCTTACCTTCCCACCCTCAGTGGCGCACGTTAGGCTCGGTCGCCGGCCGTCATACTTCCCTATCGTCACCAGTCCTGTGCGAATGCTATGGCGCAGTTTGAGCGACCAAATCGGCACGGCACTGGGCACATTGCTAACTGGTAGCTCGCCAGCCATCGTTACACCTAGCTAAGTACGGCCAGAGACAGAGTCGATGAGGCTCCGCTACTATCCAGTTCTACTGCACTCGAGTCACCTTCTCGGTGCTGATGTTGCTGCTGTTCTTCTACCGATGCTTTAGTCTGAGTCAGTACACGGTAGCTGCATCAATGTAGGACTCGGAAATCTGTTCAAGAGCACCGGCCTGGAGCTAAGGCACGAACACGGGCTCGAATAACCTTTCTGCTCACCTGCTCCTACTCATAGACTGGACGAGCAGCCCATTGTCATTGACAGACAGTGTTAGTACACTACAGTTTATTAGTTGTACCACAAAGCTCATCCACATTCGAGTATTCAAGATATCCTACTGGCTGATTTTCGAAGGCGAAACGACGTATTAAACCTAGTAGTACTAGTAGTACCTGGTAACTGTTGGATTCAATGGCACCACTGCAAGTCTGCATGCACTGATCATGCTGACTGGGCTAGAGAAGGAGCACTGCGGGTATCCCCGGGTACTCTATGTGAGTATGTCTATGATCTACAACTCAGCTCAGATCAAGAGTTCTGCCTTACAATGACTATGTAGTACATTACTAGTCATTAGGTATGTACATGACGATCTAGATCTACGTGATCACGTGACTGCATTGTTTTTTACCCGCCAAATCGGCAAATGTTTGAGCGTGCCGTGCCATGGCGCGGCACCATGCCACTCGCCCCGTGGCGAGGTCGCCATGGGGACAGCAAACGTCTAAGACCAGGCCGCAGGGCCAGGGTCCAGCTCCGGAGTCGGTCGAGTCGGATCGTAGAGTAGATCTACCGACCGTGGCGTGTCTTTTCACGATTTAGATTCCCGGTCTGGTCCTGACCATGCATGCAATGATGCATGCATGCAGCTCTGCAGGGAGTCGTGAACAATACTTGTCAATAGTGTGAAAGCCTCGACTCCCTGGCCCTGCCCCGGGCTGTAGGCCCTTGACCATGTGGACTGGTCATCGATCATCATCCTGAGTAGAGACATGACATGATACATGTACAATCATTTTCCCATTCCCAGACATCGATATCGATGAGAACGCTACTCTGCTGTTGTTTTACCGTGTTGACTGTTGTGTTGGGTTTTATTCCTTTAGTTTCTTTGGCTTGCCTTCTGTTCATATTTTGTGTTAGCAGAGTCTCACCAGTTCTGGAGTCAAGTTCTGAGCGCGGTCGCTAGTCTTCACACCTCCATGTCGAGCCGGCGCCACATCTCCAACTGTTGATTCCTGTAGCAGCAATGCCTTGCTGCCAGTGCCAGCTTACAGGGAAGTGTCACTGTCAGCGATGTGCTTGCAAGATTGCTAACACACCGTGTGTCGACGGACTGCTACCCAAGCCGAAACAACCCGTCAACCTGGAGAAATGACACTCATGGCGTTGGGACTGGAGCGACCTATCGCCACAGAGCAATGGTCTTGGTGATAGCGCTAGTTCCGGGACTCGTGTTACCAGCAGCCAGGTGGATGGTGTGGTTGGGATCACATCATTCTCAGCCTGCCGACCCTGACCCGGGTGTAGATTGGTGTGATCAACCCCCTCCCCTGCCTGGCTGAGGAGAGTGTACCCAAATAGTGAGAATTCCACGCAACGAAGAACTCGCGCTGAAACACGGGATTCGTTTTCAGCAGCACCATCGTCTTCACCAACAAAGCCAGGACATGCTGCCGCTGCTTCCGACAGCACCTCCAGTACACTTGGTGGTGAACCAGGACAATGCTGCGTCCAGTGCCTCTCAGGAGAGCGCCAACTCTGAACCTACTCTACACCTGAAGACGAACAGGAGATACCACCGATGCAGGGCATCGAGCAAGCAGTGCCAGATCAGGGACAAATCTCCATACTGTCATCATATGATGAGATCGTCCAGTGGCGGAAGCAGTTCTTTCGTATCCCGACGGGTTCCATTGGCAAGGCTTTTGTCAATAGTTTAGTTGCGGAGCTTCGACGGTTCACTGACTCTGCTGGCACTGACTGCATCGCTCTCTACCGGTTCTCCGTGCTTCCTTCTCTGATGCTGCAGTCAACCCGGCGCAACAGTAAACCGAAGAACAATACACTGCACTTGCAGCGGCGAATGGCATTGTGGCAAGCGAGGGATTTGGACTCATTAAATAAAGGGGAAGTTAAGGCAAAAATTAAAATTTCACCAGTTGTAGTCTTCGGGGTGCTGAGTCGAATGGTCTTGGTCCGAGAAAGCTGAGACGCTCCCTTCCTACTTGAATCCCAATCGAACTCGCGCACTTCCACTGAAACTGGGTGACTGCGCCCTACTAGATCGGGATTTGTATGCAAAATGTCACTAAAAGCGCCATTTCGTTCTTATAAAAGCACGGATGACCGCGATTGGCCCATATGTTGTGGTCTTTTGGACGCTGAGTCGACTGGTTTTGGTCCGAAAAGGCTGCGATGCAGCGTTCCTCCTTTATTCCCAATCGAACATGATTGAACAAGCGGTCACGTGCTCCTGCGTACACCAGTCAGCTGGTCACCGTGCCTGCATGGTACAACTTACTAGCCTGTTTGACCTTTTTTGGGTGCACTCCTGTCACTCGAGTTGAACCTTGGTGTGAAATTTGTCGCCTGCTGGCGTGATTTGGGCACCCAGGAGCACGTGACCACTTGTTCAACCATGTTCGATTGGGAATAAAGGAGGAACGCTGTATCGCAGACTTTTCGGACCAAAACCAGTCGACTCAGCGGCCAAAAGACTACAACATATGGGCCAATCGCGGTCATCAGTGCTTTTATAAGAACGAAATGGCGCTTTTAGTGACAATTTGTATACAAATCCCCATCTAGTAGGGCGCAGTCACCCAGTTTCGGTGAAAGTGCGCGAGTTTGATTGGGATTCAAGTAGTAAGGGAGCGTCTCAGCTTTCTCGGACCAAGACCATTCGACTCAGCACCCCGAAGACTACAACTGGTGAAATTTTAATTTTTGCCTTAACTTCCCCTTTAATGAGCGAAGGCCGCTGCCTGCAAGACTCGCTGTTTCGCCCTCGTGAGGGAGGCCGCAAGCGTGGTGAGGAAGATGCGGCTCGCCACTTCTCCGACCTCATGTGCCAGGGTCGTGTGCATGATGCACTTCGATGCCTGGATCCAGGCAGGCGTGGTGAAGTGGGTGGTGTGCCGCTAAACATCAACGATAATGTACCCCTCCGGGACGGTTCCTCTATTCCTTTAAAAGATGCGTTGCTCGACAAGCATCCGGAGGCTCAGCTACCACCTGCTGAATCCATGCTGCCTGGAGATGCCCCCCAGTGTTGACGACATACGATTCGATGGCCTCACTGCTGAGCTTCTTAAATCCGTGGTGATGCACTCGGAGGGGTCTGCAGGTCCGTCTGGGATGAATTCGGCCTGTTGGTGGCAGATGTGCTCCTCTTTTAAGGGGGCATCAACCAGTCTGTGCCAGGCTATTGCAGACCTCTCTCACCTTCTCACTACCCGTGTTCTTCCGGCTGACGGCCTGGTGCCATTTCTGGCATGCCAGTTGATTGCCCTTGATAAGCAGCCTGGCATACACCCTATTGGCGTGGGTGAGGTGCTCAGGCGAGTAGTATCCAAAGCTATTCTGCGCATCGCTTCGGCGGACGTGGAGGCAGCCTGCGGTTATCTTCAAAAATGCGCTGGATCACCAGGTGGCATTGAAGCAGCAGTGCATGCGATGCAAGACATTTGCAACGAATCGTCCGCTGAGGGAGTGGATGCCTGTAACGCATTCAATCGCTTTTAAACCGACAAGCAGCTCTGCATGTTGTCCAGCGCCTCTGTCCAGCATTATACACCATTCTTCGGAACTCCTATCAGTCGGAGGCACGTCTGTTTGTCTCTGGCGGTGGGGAGATTTCGTCAAAAGAGGGTACAACCCAGGGAGACCTGCTGTCCATGGCATGTTATGCATTGGCCACACTCCCATCATTCGGCATTTACAACAGCAACATGACAACGTTAGGCAGGTGTAAGGAGTTGCGTCAACTAGTGAAGTTTGCCAACACCGAGCCACATGTAGCATATGCTGCTTTGACACACGGCTTGCGAGGGCGTTGGGTGTACTTGTTCCGGACTGTTCCTGTCCCAGAGGGTTCCATCTCTGCTCTTGATAGAATTATTAAATCTGAGTTTCTACCAGCTGGCCGTGTTGCATTCACTGAGGATGACTTAGCCATGCTGAGGCTGCCGACACGACTTGGTGGAATAGCCATTCCATACTTCCGCAGCATGAGCCAGACGGAGCGAGACGCCTCCAGAGCGGTGACAGCGCCTCAAGTAGATGAAATAGTGAACCAGAATGATTCGCTTTGGACCCGGCAAGACCCAGAACGTGTCCGAGAAGCTGCCGCGGATCCAAAGAAGCGTTCCTTCATCCAGCGGGGAACTGCGGATGATTCCGAGTTCAGGCGGCTGCAACAATCAGCATCAGCAGATATGGCCCATCGTCTGGAGCATTTGTCTTCCAGTGGTGTCTCCAGCTGGCTGAATACGCTGCCATTGAGAGACCATGGATATCATCTGTCCAAAGGATACTTTTGGCATTGCGACATGACTGGGCACTGGCTGACGTGCCCAATGCATGCTCTTGCGGCAAGCCCTTTAGTTCTGCTCCTGCCATGTCCTGCCCCACCGGTGGTTTCCCTACGATACGGCACAACGAAGTCCGAGATATTGTTGCTGATCTGCTCACAGAGTTTTGCTCACATGTTGCGATTGAGCCGCAGCTGGCTCCGATTTCGGGGGAGGTATTTGTATCAGCCTCAACCAACACGGCCCACGATGCTCGTGCCGATATCCGGGCTCAAGGGCTTTGGACTCGGGCACAGAATGCCTTTCTGGATGTGCGTGTTTTCCATCCCGATGCTCCATCCTATTCCACCAGACCACTCGACAAACTTCCGGTGGAACATGAGAAGAGAAAGAAGTCAGAGTACGCCGAGCGTATCATCAACATGGATCGTGCCTCTGTGATCTCATTTCGAAAGGAGACAACAAGTTGTGTGCCGACTCTGCCGAGACAATGACCTACGTCCGGTATCGGCTGACGTTTGCTTTGCTGCGATCATGTGCGTTCGCGGTGCCCGTTCATCGTACCATCGTACCACCGCAAATGCCTTGCGGGACCTGGCAATCAGTGCTGAGGGCCGGTTATGAGGGAAGGCAACTGGATCCATACTGTGGGGTGTGTGTTGTACGGGTTCTAATAGCATTTATGTTGCATTTACATTGCATTTCTAATGGGAACTTGGTTTCCACGCCTAGCAACTTTTTTCATGATTACTTTCTTGTATAAAATTGTTCTCTTTCTTTTCGTGTTGTGTTCTAATCCTTCATGATGGTATATTGGATTGTATTCTATTTGCCCGTAAACGAGGCCTGCCATTCCCAGGAGTGGGAAGAGGAAGGAAAGCAAAAACTGCAACACAAGCACACTACTACTA